GAGAGAGAGAGAGAGAGAGAGAGAGAGAGAGAGAGAGACAGACAGACAGACAGACAGACAGACAGACAGACAGACAGACAGACAGGCAGACAGACAGAGACAGGGACAGACAGACCAGAACGCCCCTTCTGCTGCACACTGATTAGACTCCAGCAGCCCATCAGTTCGTGCATACCTTATCTACTACTATTAGAGTTCTTCCGGTCGGGTGTAACGCTACTTCGCGACCCACCCCAACCAGATTCTGCCCATCTGTGAGATGTGTCCTTCGATAAGCAGCGTAGTTCCCGGCCTCTATCGACGGCTTGCCTGAAAACGCTACTGAAAACAAGGAAACCACAGGTGGCACGACTATCTCGCCGCCCAAAAAAAAAACGAAACGCGACGCTCCATATCATAATGGGCCTCGTTGCTCCACCCACCTCCTGTTACAATCCCAGAAAGCAGCAAAAGGTAAGAGCAAAACGAAGAGAGAAAAAAAAAACAAAAACGAAAACGGGCCATGCACCACTGGCCAGCACGTCTTGTTAGTGGTGCGTCGAGGCCCAGTATCCATCCGTTTTCGTTTTTTTTCTCTCTCTTCGTTTTGCTCTTTCCGTTTTCCTCCGTTTGGGATTGTTACCACGCGCCTCAGTGCACCACTCACCGAATGTGTCAAAGTGAGAAAGAATCTTTCTCCAGAACACTCATATATACATCGCCTTAATTTTTGCCATTTGAGCCATCGCCATATGCCATGGGATGGGATGAACTGCGGCCGTGCAACACTTGGGAGGGTTTAGTTCATGTTTTGAGTATCCACGGTCGCAGCGTAACCACACCGCCACCAGTCAGTTTGGTGATGATATCCCAAGGCCATCACGGCCCCAACCCCCCCTTGAACTCAAGAGAATAACAAGGAGGATAACAAGGAAAAGAAAATTGCACAACACAACGGGACAAGAGGAGAGAGGAGGGAGGAAGGACTAGGCCGAGGAGGAGGAGGGAGGAGGAGGAGGGAGGAGGAGGGAGGAGGAGGAGAGAGGAGGATGACGAGGACGGAAACAGGATGAAAATAAAATTGTGTTCAGCTGTCGCAAGTGCCACGTGACGGGAGGTAGGAGGAAGAAGGAGAACATATATATTTTACAAAACGAAATATTCAAGTATAGTAGACATGGAAATAACTTCAAATTAAGGAGTCATTTCAAGATATGAACGAGAGAAGGTAAGCCTTACACTCAAGATGGTACTCCTATAGATATGGTATTAAGTCCATTAGGAGTCCCCTCAAGAATGAATTTGGACAGATGTTTGAATGAGGAGGAGGAGGAAGGACGAGGGAGGACGGGCGGAGATGAGGAGGAAGAAGGAGGAGGAGGAGAGAAGAAAGAGGGGGGTAACGAGGACAAGTTCAAGATGAAGGAAAGAAAATTGCACGCCAATTCAGGAGGAGAGAGGAGAGGAGGCAGGAGGAGGAGGAGGGCGATGACGGTAACAAGAATCACAAGATGAATGTGCCACACTGCCACGTGGCACGCAACGGGAGGAGTTTAACTGGTTGTCTGTATTGGATGTTGACTTTTGTATGACTGAAAAGACCACTTTCTCCGAGACTATTTGTCAAGCTTTGTCCGTCGCACACAGAGAGAGAGAGAGAGAGAGAGAGAGAGAGAGTGAAGA